CTAATCTGGCCTCTAAATACGTTGAATATAGCAACTGAGACGTATACTGTATTAAAGGTCCCATATTGTACAAAGTAAGATTCCATGGCTTTATTTTATTTTTTTTTTATTATTATAAAGCAAGTCTAGGTTCAATATTAATACTGTGAAAGTATAAATGCACGTTCACAGAAAAAATGCACATAGCCCATATTTAGAAACTGAGCTTAAAAACGAGCCGTCAGGACTTCTGTAACTTTGTGATGTCACAACAAAGCAGTCACCACTCTCACCCATGCCCCATGCCCAGGCCACCTGGACCCACCATCCAATCTTGGTTTTTCTGAGTGTTTACCTTAAATCTGCTATATTTCTAAATAACTCAGAAACCAGTCAGCCAATAATTGGCTCACCAACCTGTTGTTACTTGAGCTCCAGAGAGAAGCCTGAGAGAGGAGATGTAAAACTACATTGATGGTTTTTGGTGCTTAAAACAAAAATTATTTCTTATGGATATCAACACTTCAAATAAAACACAGGAAAAGTGTAAAATATGAGACCTTTAATCTCATTGTCAGTTTTTATCCTTCTAGTCAGTCTATGTTTTGCATACTTGTGTGTTGTATACTGTAGAATTGTTGAAATGCTCATTTCGCGAGTCGGTGGACCCCAGCATATTGTAGAATCCGAAGGTCAGAAAATTTTATCCATCATTAGGGAACAGCTTGCTAGATCTTAGTTTAATTCTTACTATGATTTTGGCTCCATGTTGTTGTTGTTGTTGTTACATTTAAAATAGAGCAGCACAGCTTGTTGATTTGTTGGTTCAGTGCCAATATCAGCAGGTGTCTATTTTTGTCACACACACACACACACACACACACACACACACACACTCACACACACACACACACACGATCATGGGGAGCCATTAGCATGGTGGCTCCCAAGCTTTTTTTTTTCCCCACGTCCTTTTTTTCCAATAATGAACAGCCCATTAATCTAAGGCAGTAATTACGGGAGAAGTTTGGAGTGGCCAAAGAGTGACCAGACATTTTGTTCAAATCAGGGCTGGTTTTATTCAGTATTTGTCTTGGCATCCCAATATGAAAGGTCTTTCTCCCGGTAATTACACACAGGACATTTATGAGGCATAAATACTGTGTACATCAGGACCATGGGCAGGTTAGATCAGTCTTGGGAAAAGATCATAGCATCAGTTGTTAGGGGAAGCAGAGCAGCAGCCACAATGTTATCCACTAGATGGATAATACAATTGCTATTAGACAGCTATAACGATATTGAATTTGGAAGATTAACTGGGCAAACTTGCCAATAAAGTTTGCTCAGACTGTAGTTTTTTATTCAGTGGAAAGAGTTTTTGGACTATGGAGCCAAAAGTATGCAATGTTTTTGTTAGTTTTTGTAGTTTTTTTTTTTAAAGTGGACAAAAGTGAATACAATCCCTGTAGTAAACAGACATTAAAAATGAGCCTAATTCAAAAACTTAAATAATAAAAAATAGTAATTGTGGCATGTGAAAAAAGTTTGAGCAGAGGGAAGAATAGATTTCATTAAATATCAGCAAATGTCCTGCAGTCAGTCAAAAAACTGAAACTGAAAAAGAGGCTGGCTCCTACAACAGGACGATGATCCAAAGCAGAGATCAGAGTCCACCATGGAATACTTGTTCTGTTAAGTTTGACTTTTTCTTGCCCACATCAAGTTAAGTCAATTTTCAAATCACAGCAGAAGTTATCTCATTTTTAAATATCCTAACTTACTACTACTAACTTACTCATATAGTAACTCGGTATCACATGATTAGAGCTTCACCTTTCAATATCAGTTGATCCGGTGAATATTATCTCGATTAATCAGCTAATGGTTTGGTCTATAAAATGTCAAAAATAGGGTAATAAATTTGTCATATTTGTCAAACCAATTGTCCAGAACCCAAATGATAATTTTTTGCTTGAAAATGACCAATCAATTATCAATTTTTTCCCCATTAACTAACGGATTAATTGATTAATCATTGCAATCTTGACCCCTACAGTTTCTGACACGCTCAGTACTTTATCAAATGAGGCATTACTTTTCTCTCAGACGGGCTAATGAATCAACACATTTCCTACCAGACAACAAATTCAGCATCTGTGTCAATGTCATATTCTTTAGTTGTCCATTCACTTATTTATTTATTAATTATCCATTAGAATCACAAATGTTCACCTGTTTGATCGAGCCCATTGTTGCTGCCCATGTCCCAGCTGCTTTCAGTAATTAAATCTAATTCCCATTTGTGCAGCTTGTTGAAATCTTTGATATGATAAAACATGGTATATACAGTTGTCACTTCAAAAGAAAGACGAGGACTTGTTTGTCACACTCGAATATTAATAGGGGACTCTATTAAAAATTCTAATTCTATTTAATGGAACAGTGGATAATTAGCAACTACTGTGTTACAATATGATTACACATTGCACTAAGTAAAATAATAGAACTGTTAGCAGACGCCGAGGGAGCACTGTGCCTCGCAGTCACAGAGTATAAATGCTAGATTAAATTGCATTTTGTTGAGATAACAAAGTAAAACTAAATGATTAGCCACATGAGATTCAAGCAAACAGCTCATTTAATGAACCAAAAGTCCTGAATCCTCAAAGAGACATCTCACTTTATTGTTCAGGTAAAGTTAAAACCACCAAGCCTCTAGTTGTTTGAGTTCTTTTTCCTTTTTTTTTTTTTTTTTTTTCTTCTTCAGGTTGTGTGGTTTTTGCATCTCTGCCGTATGATGTTATAAATCCTCCTCCAAGACTGCTCCTCATATTGTGGCTCATTAGTACAGTATAATTACAACACTATCCATCTCAGTGCACTTCCTTATTGTGGCCACTGTCTTCCAGCTCCCTGCTAATGTGCACTTAACAGAGGCTACGTGTGCGTTTTGTGTGAGCTCCAGGAGCTGAAGAGTGCACCGAGCAAATTACCGCTTCTAATTTAACTCCCTCAATTTGCATTGTGTCAGTAAGCTTCCTGTTAATTACAAACCTAGTAAAGGATTTAATGGTTTTCAATAAGGTACTGATATTAATACGTATTAAATTAGAACACGGATTAATATAATTACCTTCACCAGTTATGATGTATGGGTTTAACATGACACTCCGATAAATTGTGCTGTTTAGTAGATGTGTTAACTGTTTATTCAGCACATCATAATTAAATCTCATAGGAAAAAAAACTGCGCAGCTATAAAGTCTTGACAAGTTGTGAAGGTTATTTCCACTTTGCTGTCATCCTAACTTTACATGTGAGTCCAATTAATATGTATCTTCTCTTTCTTTCAATATTGCAAACAATAGGCTTTTGGAAATATTTATTTAAATCAGAGAAATTTAAATCTGTGTAGAACCTTAATTCCATTGTCATTAAATTTCTGTCCTTTTTTTCCCCTCACTCTCTGCTGCCGCCGGTCCTTCCTCCTTTGTTCCTATTCTCGTTTCTCTCTCACCCTCCCAGTAGATTCATTTGTCACACTATCTGTCCACTCCCTGATGTGCCGTTTAACTTTTACAGTACAATTTTCAGCTACTCAGACGCAGCTCAGTCTTAACCACGCCACAGTCCCACACTAACACTGGAGGACTGTGGATTTTTTCCCAGGGACAGAGAAACAACCAGTGAATCAATATTTGTACCATACCTTTCCCAACTGCTTTCCTCACCTCTTGTGCTTTTATGTTTTGATCCTTCCTGCGATTCCTTATTCTCCTGCATAGAGAGAAAGAGGAGGTAGTGAGTGGTAAAGTGGGTCACCCATCTCTTATATAGTTGAGGAAAGGCTCGCTCTGTGGAGTAAGACTGTTTGCTGCCTTAGGCACCAACATGACAGCAAAGGCAAGCTAATAGACTTAAAGGGACAATCAAGAGCTTGAGAACGTAACTTGGTATAAATGCTGTAGCCACAGTACCTCGTGGAGTGAAGCAGTAAATATGACCGAACAATGGTCAAGGCTTTTTGGCTTTGGTCTGAGGGCCGGGACCGCTGTATTAGTGAATCAGAGATCATATTAAAATAAGAACATATATAAGAATGCAGTGAAAAGAGTACATAAAAACACAAATAATGAAAAAAAACAAGTAAATTAGAAACGATTTTCTGTCTTGTAGTCGGCTTTTTCGTAGATGGGAAGCCAGAGTGGGATTATATGTTTGTTTTCACATAATAAGCCCTTGTTAGATGGTTGGCGTGCCTTGTTATCAACAGGTTTGGGTGTGGGGAGACAACAGGACCTTCTCCATGTGCCTATGATACTGTAGGCATGCCTTCCTCAGTCCAGCAGTGTGCGTCAGTAGTGACGCAATAGCAACACTCAGTGGAAATTAGCAAAGACAGAATTGCATTGAAAAAATCAGAGGAAAAAAAAAATACATTTCCCCTTGTCGTAGAGACTATTCCAAAACCCAAGACTTATGACAGCAACATCTTTTTGCCTCATTTTGTTCCAACCAGTGAGGCTCTGCTGGATATGATTTGCAGCTAACAGCCAGACTCCCCTGTGTCTTTAAAGACATTTAAACAACAGTAACAGATGAGAGATGAGGTGATATGGTCTTTTCTTGATCCATTCTTTGCTGCACAAAGCCATAAAGAGACCTGTAATTCTTTCCTAAAGTATTTCATCTTTGTCGCTACGTGTGTGTGTGTGTGTGTGTGTGTGTGTGTGTGTGTGTGTGTGTGTGTGTGCGCGTGTGCGCGTGCATCGTGGTATTCCTATACCCATGAAGACCGAATCTTCTCACAAAGGTAGAAAAATCTTCAAAACAAGGTTGTTCTACAATTTCTCGCTCTATTTTTAAGGTTAGAAACAGATGCAGGGTTGGGGTTGAGTGTAAGAGTTATTTATGGCCAGGTGTGTAAAGATAGGGTTATGTAATGAGTTTAGTCAAAGAAAGCCTCCACATGTTACAAGTATATTTTTGTCATCTCTGTCTCCCTCTATTCTTTCCAGGCAACTACTATGGGACCCCGAAGCCCCCCGCAGAGCCCAGCCCCGTGCAGCCGGACCTGGTGGACCAGGTTCTGTTTGATGAGGAATTTGACACGGAGGTGCAGAGAAAACGCACAACCTCCGTCAGTAAGATGGATAGAAAGGACAGCGCCGCACCAGAGGAGGAAGAGGAAGAAGAGAGGCCTCCTATGGTCAACGGCCTGGCTGGTGAGAGACACACACACACACACACACACACGGCTGACTTTTGTTTCATTTATTTAGGCTAGTTGTAATGCAGCTTCGCTCCATGCTGCTTTTTTTTCTCATTTAAACCCCAGGACTTTTTTTTTTTTTTTTTTTTTTTTTTTTTTTTTTTTGCTTCATTTATTTATTTGTCTAGCAGTTCATTATATCAAAATGCAAAATAGCAAGACTTTATGTTTTTCTTTCCTCCTGTTCATTGTTTTCTCTAAACAAACATTCTCAGGATTAGCTGTTCTGCATGCAAGGTCAGCACTAAATCAGACACATTATACAGAAGGACTCCGACTAAATCACAGCGCGGCAAAGTCAAGAAGGAGCCAAAGTCTGTCAGAGATCAATTGAAGCACTGCCTCGGTTTAGAGGGATCGACCTTGTCCTTGTTTGATTCCCCCCATGAGGACGTCCTCACACGGCTCACAGCGCACACAAAATCAGAACCTGTTTCAGCTTAATGGTGAACTATTGTCCTCGCTGTGAAAGCAGTTAGAAAACCTTTAACTGCGGCATAATTATGAAACACTACAAAATAAAACGGTAGAATTATGCACCAATATTTTACACAATAACAATGCATATGAAATTATTTTATAATTCAGTCACCGTTCACCCATATTTAAATTAGCCAACTGAACAAAGTGGCAGCTTCTGGCTCTCTGCAGCTCCAGCTGGTGAAGCCTCCCTCAGCTGGCCTGTCCTCTAATATGGCTTCAATGACAGGCCCCTAACCAGCCTCAGAACACTGGCCTGGTGCAGTATGGCACTGCCAATCTAGATTGCTCTTCACAAGAAGTCCCAATGCTGGAAAAAACAGCTATGATCCAATGCATATTGCATGACACGACCAATTTTGTTATTTTGTGTATTTTTGTGAATCCTGAGGAGAATTAGCCAAATATCATGTAAAGACATGCAGCACAATTACCACAGTTTAAAAGACAAATACATTAATATTCAGCATTCATGCAGGAAATTAAAGAAAGTGTCTTAACTGACACCAGTTTTTTTTTTTTTCTTGGTTTGGCCTGTGATGACTTTTTCTCAGTTAGAGGAAAATAAAAATATCTTTATCATCACCGTATTATCGCTGTCACTATCACATACTCTGTCACATATTCAATCAACTGAAGGCACCGGCCTTCAACACCTCGCCACCATCTGGAACATATAATGTAGTATAGTCTTATTCAATTACCATTACATACAACAGTTTGTATTCATTGTATGAACCACTTCTGAAAACATCTTTACAATGTGAGGCTCAAAAATTAGTCAGAAAAAAAAAGATTAAAGATCAGCGAGCATGTAGAATGAGTTGCTCATCTCACATCCAAAGAGTAAAAGAGTGAAAAATTGTCAGCGACACATCATCTCTGTAGCCTTGGGCTGTAATGATGGCAGTGTGGAGCCCGGCCAAGAAAACCCACGCACTGTAGACTGATGTCACTCCTAATTCCTTAGTCTATGAGTTGTCTCATTGTAAACGCAGTTTATTCTACCTTTTGTTGGTGTGTGGATGGGTTGGATTGCTGAAGTGGTGAGAACTAACAACAAAAGGAGTGACGGAAAACATACCGTATGACCATGCTTGGAAGGTTGTTTAATAATGGTCATGCATTACTGTGAACAGCCATTTTCCTTTTGTGTTGCTCCCAGCATTCTCGTCAGTTTGTACAGACTACATGCCCGCATGTGCAACAGCCCCCGGTTTATTTCTCTTCAGTGGCTGAAAGTGACTATAGCCTAGAGCAACTGTCTGTATGTGTGTCATTTATCCTGACTTTATAAGTGGAGAAAACCTTCCATGGTTCCATCATGAAAAAGAGCCCCCCCCCCCCGATTTCAGCACAAAAAAGCTCTTGACTTCCTCCAGTCAACAGCTGTCACTTTGCATCCTTACCATTCACTTACCCCTGCCAAACAGTCTGAGCATTCAATGCCGTGATGAAGCTAGGTCATACACAGCCAGATGAAAACCTGCAGATAAGAGCCTCACACAGTAAGGCACACACACACACGCATCAAGATGAGGCAAACACACACACACACACACACACACATGTAAGCAGCCTGTGTGATACTAATAGAGTTGCGATGTGGTGCTCGTGGCTGGGCTGAAGCGTTGGTCAGCTCTGCCCTTGCCTGGGAGGCAGTTCCCAGTACATCGCTGCTGACATGCAAATCCTATGGCAATTGCTGCTCTTCCGTCCTCTCTCTGTGTACTCTCTGGCACTCTCTCTCTCTCTCTCTCTCTCTCTCTCTCTCTCTCTCTCTCTCTCTCTCTCCCCCTCTCTCTCTCTCTCTCTCTCTCCCCCTCCCTCTCCTGTGGATGCAACCGTCCACCCAGTGTACAGAGGAAGAGCAGCTCGAGCGGCAGGCAGGCAGGCAGGCAGGCAGGCAGGCAGGCAGGCAGTCAGCAGCAGCAGCAGGGAGAGATGCAAGGTGCCCAGAGGAGCTCCAATGGCGCCACACTCTCACCTCCTGTCTCCTTTTCCTTCTACCATCTCCCATACCTCTACTCCCAACCCCTTCCCCTGTCCGTCTCCATGCCCGTGTCCCTCTCTCCATGCGGGGCCCCAGAGCACAAGGACAAGGCGGAGTGGAGGAAGACGGTGCCCAGCTACACCCAGTCAGCTGGGGCCATGGACCTGCGTGCATGGAGCACACAGGATGAAAGTCAGGAGCCCTTGCCTAAAAACTGGGAGATGGCCTACACAGAGACCGGCATGGTCTATTTCATAGAGTAAGTAGCCTTTCTACTGCTACTTGCCTGCGTTTGTTTTGGTCCTATTACTCTCCCATTACATCAGCATTGTTGCTAATCCTACTCCCAGTACTCTTCCAGTTCATGTCTCTTTCTGCCATTGTAAGCCAAATGTGTTGAGAGATCTGGCAGTGAGTCCCCTCTGCTGCCCGTCCAGCGCATTCCTCTGTGCTGCATGAAACCTGGTGCTGGACACGGGAAGCTATGCGCCGGCTCTTATGTTGTTGTCGATTAAGTTTTTCTTTTATTTCCCCTGTGTTTGATGTCGGCTTTGTTGGCTGGCGCTAAAAGCAGCAGGCCCGCATTGTTCACCTGGCCCGTTAGTGTGGCGAGCAGTCGATGCTGAGGCGCTGAGAGAGCCAGGTGCTGCTGCTCGCCACTAAATCAATAGCTCATTCTGCCAGTGAGAGAAACAACAGGCTAAATGGAGTTCGCCACCCCCTGACCTACTCTCTCAGTTCTGCTCTTTATGATCCCTGCAACTGCTCACTCTCTTCTCTGTGTAGTTTATGTATTCCTCCTCTTCCTCCATCTCTGTCCATTCTCTCCCTCTCTTTCTTTCTCGCTTCCCTGTACCTCAAAGGGTCCTTTGAGCTTTGTTAAAATTTTACAAATATTATAAAGGCTTCTTTAATAAGCCATTTGATCCCAAAAGATTAGAAGTTAGCCAGACTTTTCCTTGTTTCCAGGGAGCTTTTAGCTCTGTTTATTTATCAGAGGTGGTGGAATAACTCCAGGGTAAAATGGCTCTAGAGAGTCCCCAGTGCTAATTGATAATTGCTAATTTTCACAGTATCTTAAATGTTTCTTAGATGTTTTTTTGGTTTTTTTATTGTGCCTAAAGCCCTGTCTTGTCTTTGTACTTCAGTCACAACAGCAAGACCACTACCTGGCTGGACCCCCGCCTCGCCAAGAAAGCCAAGCCTCCAGAGAAATGCGAGGAAGGAGGTGAGACAATGTTTGCGGAAAGTTCTGTGGTGGTAACATTTTACACCCCTCAGTCCCACTCATATACTCCCCCCCACACACACACACACACTTCCACTACTTCATCCCTACTCCCTGCTGCACAGAGCACAGAGTGCGTGCCTGCCTCTCTAAAGGGGGCGCTGGCTGACAGACGGAGATTGAACAGCTGAGCGGGCCTGGTCACAGTCGCGCTGGTGACACAGCACAAACCTCCGGTCTCCAGTCTGCCCCTCTCCTCGTAATGGCTTCGGGGACACATGCAGGGAGCTCATCAGTGCAGCATCTCTCAAAAGGCAATTTTCTATGGCCCCTCTTGCGTAAAGATCTCCTCTGCGACGCATGTGTTTGTCACGCGGCGGCAGAAACTCAAGATGTTGCACACATACACACCGCTGGAGAGAAAAGGGTATTATTTTCCAGGGGGAGGCTGTATAAAAACTCAGCATTTCCTCCTTCCTCCTCCCTGCCCTCCTCTATGTTGTTTATTAAACTCTAAACACATAGTGACAAATAAAAGGAGGCCTCCTGTCCTGTAGGTGTAGGTAAGCACGCTGTGAGGCTGCCAGTCAAAGCGCTACGCCTCATTGCGTGTGTCCAATTGTCCATGTCGTGTCTCAGCAATATGTGAAGTGATTTGAGTCTGCCTTTTTCCCTGTTTGTTCTCCCCCAGAGCTGCCCTACGGCTGGGAGAAGATTGAGGACCCCCAGTACGGCACCTACTATGTAGAGTGAGTAAACTTCTCCTTTTGCCTGACAGGGGACAGATGGCTACGTCTGTGATTTGGCTTACTGCATGCTTATGTTGAGGTACGCTTTTTAGAATGAGATCTGCATTATTATATTCACATGCTCTGCAACTTAAAGCCATGTCCCTGAATTCCAAATGTATACTCCTCAAAAAAAAATTAGGGGGAATGCTTAATAATCACAGTATGACACCAAGTCAGTTAAACTTCAGGAATATCAATCTGTCCATTTAGGAGGCACAAGTGATTGTGAATCAATTTCACCTGCTTTGGTGCAAATGAAAGTGACAACAGGTGCAAAGGAGAGGCAAAAGCAAGACAAGCCCCGAAAAGGGAATGGTTTTACATGTTGTGGCCACAGACAGTTGCTCTCTCCTTATCCTCCCCGACTGATTCTTCTCTAGTTTTGTGTTGTGCTAGTGTCCCTGTCACTACTGGTAGCATGAGGCGGTACCTGCAGCCCAATCAGGTTGCACGGGTAGTCCAGCTCCTCGAGGATGGCACATCCATACGTGCGGTCGCAAGAAGGTTTGCTGTGTCTCCCAGCACAGTCTCAACAGCATGGAGGAGATACCAGGAGACCGGCCGCGACGCGAGGAGAGCTGGACAGGGCCGTGAAAGGGCGTCAACCCAGCAGCAGGACCGGTACCTGCTCCTTTATTCGAGGAGGAACAGGAGGAGCACTGTCAGAGCCCTACAAAATGACCTATAGCAGGCTACCGGTGTGCATTTTCTGACCAAACTGTGAGAAACAGACTCCATGGGGGGGCCGGCACGAGGGCCGGACGCCCTCTAGTGGCGGTCGTTGTCTTCACGGATGAGAACGGGTTCACACTGAGCACGTGTGAGAGGCGTGAAAGAGTCTGGAGATGCCGTGGTGAACGTTATGCTGCCTATAACATCGTCCAGCATGAGCGGTTTGGCGGTGGGGTCAGTGATGGTGTGGGGAGGCATATCCTCAGATGGTCGCGGAGACCTCCATGTCATAGCCAACAGTACCCTGACTGCTGTTAGGTACTGGGATGAAATCCTCAGAGTGACCGTCAGACCTGACGCTGGTGCAGTGGGCCCTGGGTTCCTCCTGGTGCAGGAGGAAGAGTGTGTAGGCAGTTCGTGGATGACGAAGGCATTGATGCCATTGACTGGCCCTCACGTCCCACTGACCTAAATCTAATTGAGCAACTATCGGACGTTATGTATCGGTGCATCCGACGCCGCCAAGTACCGCCACAGACTGTCCAGGAGCTCACTGATGCCCTGGTCCAGGTCTGGGAGGAGATCCCCCAGGGCACCATCCGCCGACTCATCAGGAGCATGCTCAGACGTTGATGGGAGTACGTACAGGCCGTTAACGTGATGAAATTCACATAAATTGGATCAGCCTGTGGTTTCAATTTTTTACTTTGATTTTCAGTGTGATTGTGAAGCCAGCCCTCCATGGGTTGAAGATTTTGGTTTCCTTAGACCGTTTTTATGTCATTTTGTTCTCAACAAATTATACAATGTACATCAGTGAAGATTTTCAACCTGGATAATTCGTTCATCAAGATCTGATGTGTGATTTAAGTGTTCCCTTAATTTTTTGAGCAGTGTATACAGAAGCATTAAATTTGGTGTTGTTGAATCTCTTGTGGACCATGTAATAGTGTGCATATTATGCTGTTGTCCATGCAGAAGCTTCCCACAGTCCTCCAGAAAGCAATTATGTCAGCACTGACAATACTAGTGTGTTACAGCTTTGTGTGTGTGTGTGTGTGTGTGTGTGTGTGTGTGTGTGTGTGTGTGTGTGTGTGTGTGTGTGTGTGTGTGTGTGTGTGTGTGTGTGTGTGTAAGTAAAAGAGCAGAGACAGTGAAGACAGCAGCAGACAATGAAGGTAAAGGGTCCCTGAGAGGGAAACAACGGCGAGATTCCATTCTGATCAAGAGTGTAAACAAGAGCACAATGTTTCATTTTAGTCCCATTAATGTGGACAAAGAGGAAGAGACCTGCAGGCAGAGGGGTGGGAGTGGGGGGCCCTGTTTATGCAAGAGGGTCATTGAGAGGCTGCCTTTCCTCTGTCTATGTCTCTTTGTCTGGCAAATGTTGTTGTGAATGAACGACCAAATGCGACAGTGTGACACAAAGTCTCATTATTTCCTCAACTGCCACACAAAACATGAGGTGTGGCAATTAAGGAGTGAGAAAGTGAGAGTGAGAGCAGCGAGTAAATGAAAGAGTGGAAATGAAAGAGAGGGGAATGTTTATCTCTTCAGACTTAATGGGGAGGGTATCTCTGTGCATGAGTCACACGCAGCAAGAGCGCAGTTTTGTTTTTTTTTGTTTTTGTAATGCACGCACGCACGCGCGCACACACCACACATATATACCACCAGTGTCTCAGCATGTGGCTGATTCACTGTGCAGCATCAAAGCATTTTGTCTTCCCACTGTGCTGTCATGACTGGGATTTACAACTGTTAAAGCTCATTACGCAGATGATCTACCTCTCCCTCCATTACCATCTAACTGTGGAGGGACATTTCTCCAGGTTGCAGAGAATGCTTCACCGTGCAGGTGTGGCCTGTGAATCATTCATTGTTTTTTGGGTTTTTTTTTTTTTTTTTTTTTTTTTTTTTTTTTTTAGATTGAGCCAAAGCATAGCTGGCACGGCTGTTTATTTTAAGAAAAGAAGGCCATCTCTGGGCATGTAATATGATAAAGGGCGCATTGTTGTTTACAACTATGTACAGAATCTTTTGATCCTGGGCTTACGATGCATTGAGCAGATGTTTATCCCATCACGACAATATGGACTCTCACAGCAAAGATTGCGGCTGATCTTCTCATGGCCTCTCTCAAAGATGGATCAAATCAATTTCTTATTTGTGAGGTTTAGACATGCTCTCAATTCTTCTGTGTGTGTATGTGTTACCCCTTTGGCACAGGCAGATATGGGTCTGTGATGTATCTACTGTATTCGAGCAGCCTGTATATGCTTTATGACATGCTGTCTACCCAGCATGGTAATGTCAAATCCCGCCCTCATAGTCAAATCACAGGTTTGCATGACAGGCAGAGGACAATATGAGCAGTGTGGACAAGCTGTGTTGTGCGGGGCCAAAAGGTAAAAACCAAAGACGAATACAAAAACAGAAACATTAGCTGGCAGCTCAGACTGTGTGTAGTCAACCGACGTAGGTGAGCAAATGAAAATAGTAGGATGTGTGATGAGCAGTGTGCCAACAAGCACAGGGAAAAAAAAAAAAAAAAAACGGAAACATGTTTTCTGTGCACAGTCAAGATTTATGTAACAGCTTCTACTATTTCCACCTCTCGTTCGTCTAATATTGGTTATTTCGCTTGTGCAGCCACATCAACCAGAAGACCCAGTTTGAGAATCCAGTGCTGGAAGCAAAGAGGAAGTTGAGTGTGGACACGCCCACTGTGGCACCGCCACCGCCTGCAGCCACACCTTCAGGTAAGTGCACCCACAAAACCAAAGAAACCTCTGGAGGAAACAGACATGTTATTGAGAGGAGTTTACAAGTCAGGAAGGATCTGCGGTTGAGTGAGATCATTCCTGTCATTTCACATTTCGCATTTCTTAAACGTTATGTAAACATGTAGCAATTGGGAGTAGAAAGTAGTTGAGGGAAAATGTTTTATTTTGAAAATCATCAAATCATCATTGAGAGATGTCAACTTGTTTCAAGAAAAGTAAAGATTTATCACTGGTATAATGATTTTTTTTTCAGTTTAGGGAAAAGTCAACATGATCGATAATCAGTATTGTCGTTTTAAACAGATTTTGTTTTAAACAGGTTTTAAAACAGTTTTCCAATATTTGAATTAAATGTCATTATTTAGATTGAGTGCCAGGAAATTTTCCTCTAGTTGGTGATCGGAAATGGACAGGAAGTGAGATCATTTGCTCCAAATTGCATCCTGGAATGTAAGAGAGAGAGAGAGAGAGAGAGAGAGAGGGAGGGAACACAAAGTAGTGATGAATGTGATGAATTTCAGTCTTGATTAAAATGATCCTCAAGAGAAATCAAAATCTTATTTTTATGTTATTATTTGAAATGTATCCTTCTATTTTAAGCCACACTAACCAGCCTGGCTCCTATGTTGGATCATATATCTCAATGGCTGCTGGATAGATTGACAAGAAATTTGGTATTGCATTCTACTGACTTTTACTTTAGCACCACTATGAGGTTGACATCTGTGGGTTTTAGTGAAACATCTCAACAGTTATTGGATATACTGCAATAAAATCTGGTTCAACCAATGATGTCCTCCTCAGGATGAATTGTAATAACTTTGGCTGCCCTCTAACTTTGAATCCAGCCCCAGCATCAGGTCAGAAATTGAATTTACTCAAAACTGCGAAACTAATACCTGCGAAATCAGCCTCAACTGCAGTTTGTGTTTAGTGGCAATTAACAAAAGTTGGCATGCTAACATGCTAAACTAGGATGATGAACACGATAAACATTATATCAGCTTATACCTTTATGCTCAAATTGTCTTTGTGAACATGTTACAATGCTAGCATTAGCATTTAGCTCAAAGCGCAGCTATGCATAGAGATACAGTACGTGGAAGTACAGCCTCACAGAGCTGCTAGCGAAGCCGTACACTCGTACTGTTGTTAGTTTCTTTGTTGGATGATGTGACTTAAAAAGCATCCATTACTGGACTATCAAGGGCAGATTTCAGCCATAACTACACAGCATTTCATTACACACACTGGTTAAATAAATGGTGGAAGCCGATGTGTAATTAACTTATCAAAGGTCAAAAGGTCAAACAACACCAAGTATCAGCAGCTTGTCCCGTTGTGCTTTAGGTCAGTTGCTTTTACATCAGGACTTGTTCCCTCCTCTTTCCGCCTCCTCATAAGCTGCAGCGCAGGCAACACTGTTATAAAGACGCAGGTTCCGGCTTTGTGGTTCAAGCATTCTGTTCATTGAAGAAAAAAAAAAAAACATATATAACAAGGTATTAGATGTGTTATCCAAATATTGGAGCACTTTTATCATCTCCTTCATGCTGAGATGTCTGTCTGGAAGATGTTCTAACAGTTGACAGGCCGCTGATAAACAGCCCATAGCCTCTGAAGCAATGATATTCAATTTGAATAATGGAGCAGCGCTTCACTGGACGGCTGAATTCATTTTGACAAGTAGATATGAAATAGGGAGGGCTCCGAGGTCTCTTTGAAAATGCTTTTGCCCCAGTCATTCACCGCAGTTCAAAGATATCTCGTTAGAACAGAGGCACGGAGGGAGAGAGGAGAGACAGTGAAGGAGAAAGAGGTGACTCAGGTTGAGAGTGACTCATGATCATAAATTGCATTTCTACCGGGTCATCTGTTCATCATTTACCACCTGTGGCGAATGCTGAATGACTGTCAAATCGCCCTCTTCTCAGTCAATGTAAACGTCTGAGAAGCGGAAGCCCCGTGTTGCTGTAACGCGAGTAAAGAATTATTGCACTCTTCTGTGCGCAAACACACAGAGCATAACTGCATTAGTATTCAAACTAGCCTCTGTGTTTCAGACACCCGTTGGACAGAACTGTCTGCCTCACTCCGTTGCGTGCAGACCCCACCTCCCACAGCTGAGCCTCTCTGCAGTCTGTGGATGATATGTCCTCCTGTGTGCCACCGCCTGCAGCTTCAACTGCCTCCCCGGTGCCCATTCTGCACCTTCACCACCCTTGTTAATGAGAATTAATGGCTAGTGGTCGTGCGCAAGTGTGTGGACGCGCGTGAGGTGGCTCCTAAACACTGTTTTGACAAGGCTGGCGAGCCTGACCTCCCAGACAATGCCGCAGAGCAGAGGAGCAAAGCGCAGCACTATGCTCAGCCATAATTACAGCGCTGACAATCCTGTCTGACATTTCATATAATCACTTCACCCCCGAGAATACAGACTGTCCCTTTGTGGCCCACAGCTTAATCAAGACCATGTAAACATGGCTTTGGTGTGTAGACCCCTCCCCACCCCACTACCCTCCTCACTCTCTCTCTCTCTCTCTTTTTCTCTCTCTCTCTCCCTCCCTACTCTTCTGTCAGTGTTGCTTTCATGGTGATCATGTAAGAAACAGTGTTGACAGTTTCTTGACATAGTGTGTGAACACGGGATGTCTGGGTAGTCTGACGGGGCTTAATCCTGTCAAACAGCATTCATATTACACACATGCTCACACCTTGAGTTGCCATGAGAAAGTTCATGTTTTCTACACGCCTGTACTTACACATACACAACACAGAATTACACATACGCCCTTAAAAGTATCTCTCTGGCACAGCTCCAATGCAGGAAAGCCATCTTAATCACACTTGGCATGATCTTTTTTTTTCTCTCTCTCTCTCTGTTCAGAGCGGGCATGTTCATTTGCCAATTGCTGTGCAGTTATGCAAATCGCAATCCCATGACACATTCAGAATTGTGTTTGATGCAGGGTTTCTTTTTTTGAGGATGGGGGGGGGCTTCTATCTGTACCCTCCCTAATGAGATTGATGTCGCACCATCTATCAGTGTGGGAACTATCAGAGAAGAAGCCCAGCATGCAGGGACACTGCACATAACTCACAATCTCATAGGCTCGCACCACAGGGAAGGGAGAGCTAGGATTTAGACCGACTTTCCCTCTTTCTGTCAAGGCTAACTCGATTTCTCTCTGTCTCTTTCTGTCTCATTGCTCTTATCCTGCTCTCACACGCGCACACACACATACACACACACACACACACACACACTGTAAGTCTAATATAATCCCCTTTCCTATATTCTGTGAAGTTGCCCCATTTACACATCCTGCCCGGCACCACAAAGGAAAATTTGCAATGAAAAGTTTACCTGGAGAATGTCAGGCGCACTTGAGGACAGATTTATCACAGCAGTTAAAGGAATCGGTGAGACTGGGTCAAAATATAGATTTTCTGTAATAACTGGGTGTTTAGAGCAGTAGATTCACAAGTTTTGTGTGTGTGTGTGTGTGTGTGTGTGTGTGTGTGTGTGTGTGTGTGTGTGTGTGTGTGTGTGTGTGTGTGTGTGTGATTTGTTCTAGTTTGCACTTAAATTGCGTGTGCTTAAGAGTGTTTGTGCAATTACCAGCAGTGAGTGATGTATCGTCAGACACGTTGTCGCCGTGCGAATGTTGCCATGATGGAGACAGGTGGCAATTTATGAGGAAGCTTTTCAGTTTCCCTTCGTATCCCAGGCTCTTTTTCAAAGACACGTGCATGCTTCTTCACCATACAGACACCTGCGACGCTTAAAGATGTGCTGCTCTCATCTATAGAAGTAATGGCTCCTGACTTCATTTCAAGTTTAATGTAAAAGCTGAATTTTATATATGATTCGTTATTACATACATTTTTCATTAGAACACTAGAACTGTGTGTAAAACAGAAGAAATTTAGTATAAAGTAATTACAGTAATTAGGCCGTTAAAGATTTAGACATGACGAAAGTTTTTTTTTTCTCCATTTCCTTGTCCATTACCTCTTGTCAATCTGTCTCCTCTTTTTTCTTCCATCATCCCTACAACAGAAGAGCCTGGTAGGGGGGTGCGGGGCTTCACGCGAGACCCGGCTCAGCTACAGGGATCCATCTTGCAGACAGCGCTTCGAAAAAGCCCCCAGGGCTTTGGGTTCACCATCATTGGAGGAGACCGACCTGACGAGTTCCTTCAGGTCAAAAATGTCCTTCCGGATGGGCCTGCCGCACATGACAACAAGATCGCCTCAGGTAATCCCCACCCCCACCCCACAGACCAATGTTCAGTACCTGACTTGCACTCTGGCTTAGCGGTTAGAGTTCATCCTGCCATACATGTAAGGAAAGGCTTTATAAATTGTCTGATAAAACAAAGCATAATCCAGTGTCACACTCACATGTCCGCTGTTTGCATGGCATGCGTGCCTATGCACACAGTGACACTCTGGCTTGGCAGCAGCATGTGTACTGTACATAATACAGTTTTATGTACCCACACACACACACACACACACACACAAACAAACACATTTAGAGGAAAAACACAGAACAGGCTCTTCACCGTGAATGTCACATTGCTTGATCAAGCCAAGACAAATGTTTATAGGCAGTGTTCAGCGGATCTAAAAATAGGAAACTTCCGTCAGTAAAGCACATGTTCAGTTCACTGTTATGACACCCAGACTTTATATGCAGTCTCATATTAGAGGTTTAATAGACTTTCGGACCACGTGTCTTCTCGTGGCTGGAGGGTGACAACCGAGCACGTACAGTGCACACACAGCCTGCGGCACAGACGTCCTTATTGCATGCAACTTTTGCCGGGTCTCAGTAGTGACACTGCAGCAGCACCCGCATCTTAGTGTCTCCGTAAATTCCCCTTTCTTTTATAATTACCGTGATCACATGCATGATGATTTTAGCATGCTGAATTACTAGTTAGTGAAGTGCCTCAGGATTCACATTACAGTCGTATTGATTCCACTGAACGCTCTTAACGTCCACACAAGTGCTGCTGCTGAGAATCAACATGAAAGTGGAACAGAGAGTAATTATTTTCAGGATTTCATTTCCCTCGAGAAGGAGGGTAATTGATTTAACCAAAAAAAAAAAAAAAGAAAAAAGAATGTAATTAATTTCATTGGATTATAATAGCGAGCCGTGGACTGTAACAACTTCATGTGGCTTTCACTGACTACAGGCCAGGAGCATTTATTTATGCGAATGTCTGAACTTTCTGAGACTAAATTGTTTCATTTACCATGCTTGTATTACCTTGCGGATGCTTAGTCACTGGATACGTCATTAGAACTGTGCATTGTGGGTCTGATCAGGCACTACATCGGGATATGGAGCTCATTTCAAGAGTGAAATCTTAGCTCGTGTTTGCTGGGAGAAGGTATTGATTGCGTAGGTGGTCTGAATCCCAGCCAACTAGCCAGTCAGCAATTCAGCCTGAACATCCAGGCTAATATCTCAGCCAGGCCAGGGGTGATGAGAGCCCCCCTTCCCCCCCCTACTCCTCCTCCTCTCTCCACCCTCACAAGGAGATGAAAGGATGTAGAAGAGAACAGCATGTCAGTGATCTTGTTCTACTTTGCTCTCACCCTTATTCTCTCCATCCTCATTAACATCTATAAGTTTTTAGAGCAGAGAAGAGCAGATACAGATTCTGTTTATGTAATCCAGCTAGATAACTATCATTTCACTTATTCAGTCGGTCGCATTATCGTCTCTTTTTTTATTTTGTTGCCTGTTTGTTCTTCTCTTTAGGTGACGTGATCGTGGACATCAATGGGACATGTGTGCTGGGGAAGACTCATGCTGATGTGGTCCAGATGTTCCAGTCCATCCCTATCAACCAGTATGTGGACATGGTCTTGTGCCGGGGCTACCCCCTGCCTGAGGACTCCAGCAACAGTGAGGAGGCCTCAGGAGGCCTGTGCACCTCCAAGGACACTTCCCCTTCGCCGCCCACCTCCACGCCACAGGACCCTCACTACACAGTCCCAGACGGAGGAACCCTCACCAGGCAGACTGCTGCAGTGCCACCCATGACCAACGGGGGACGCCACCACCACCACCATCCTCACCCTCACCTCCACCAACACCACCACCACCTTCCTCACCAAGAAGGCCCTGACCCCACCTTGTTGCAGCCAGAGCTGGTGAGCGTGCCGCTGGTGAAAGGCCCCGGAGGTTTCGGCTTCGCCATCGCGGACTGCCCACTAGGCCAAAAGGTGAAGATGATCCTTGACGCCCAGTGGTGCCGCGGCTTGTTGAAGGGCGATGTCATCAAGGAGATCAACAGGCAGAACGTGCAGACGTTGAGCCACTCCCAGGTGGTGGACATCCTCAAAGACCTGCCCGTGGGCAGCGAGGTCAACGTGCTGGTGCTTAGAGGAGGTGAGTCGGCAGAAATGAGAGTTCACATTGCTGCAGTTGCAGGTAAGCCTGCAACACTGAATTAATCCTTACAAGTATGTCACAGCTGGCAGGCTTGCAGTGCTGATGCTGTGACATCTCTGTTGTTAAATCGCTGCTGTCTATATTAATCTACTCAGGTTACTGACAACAAACAGGTGTTAGTGCCCGGAGATAGTCTGGCGCTTTATTCCCATGCGTCTGAAATCATTTTAATCCTCACACAGCTTTGTGTTGCCTGTGGTCTGTTTCTCTTTCTCTTACTTTCCTTTTTCCCTCAAAGAAAGTAATGAGTGAAACAATAGGAGGAGAAGACCACCCACTGGATTTGAAATTAATTTTTTAAGACAGTGAGAAAGAGACATTGTCAGACCAGCACTGACAAAAGTCTACTCAGTTGAGGTTGAGATTTAATGCAACGCGACCAGTGTTTTAATTTATAAATAACAGGATTGAGGTGTTCTGTCGATATTTCTCGGACACACAGACTTTCCCTATGTTAAATAAAGCAATTTCACGCTCCGGTCCACACTAACTCTGCATCATCCACCATGCGCCTTCCCAAACGGGGAGCAAGTCATGCTTAGTCACATGGTGTGAGCTGTGCTGGGAAAGCGCAGAGAAATGGCAGTTTCTGTGATTCAATCGCTGCTTGGAGAGAAAGAGAGAAGGCAGGCAGGAGAGACGGAGCATGGTGGGCAATCATTTGCCCTTCTTCTTACTTGAGGCTTGCACTGATTTGAAGGGTCTTCTTTGCTTGCCTTTACTGCAGTGCAGTAGCCTAGATACGGGAGATCAGTGTTGCACCCACATATCAGATGCACTCAGCTGGGCTCTGCTCTGAGCTCCAGGGGCTTGTCCTGTGTGTGTTTATGTGCTGCTTTTATTAACTTTTTTTTTTTTTTTTTTTTTTTTTTTTTTTTTTTTGCTGCTGTGTGCCAGCATTACATGTTTTTTATGGTACATGTGCATTTGCAGGGTGTGTGTGTGTCTGTGTTACTACTTAAAAAAAGGAGGAGATCACAGCTTTCCAGGACTAAAAGGAGTGGCGCTGCAGGGCTTCCCTCAGGTCACCACACAGACCGAGTTTAGGTTCGGCTTTACTCCCAGCCGGGGGAGAGAACTCCCTTCCGATTACAGCGGCAGACAGAAATGAAACAGGAAATTATTTGGCCCTGCTCCTTGCTCTGGATTTAAAATGTGGAAATGAGACCAATTGCCCTTCCCAGTGGGATATGTACTGTGCCCAGTGCCTGAGATATCATGTGTTATGATACTAGACCGTCAATAGGAGATACAGCCAGTACATTTACTATTAAAATTCAATTAAAAACTGTTTTTCCTAAAACTCCACATTCATTAAAACATTTCATTTATTTAAAATCTAAAATCTGGAAAGCTACAGCCAGTAGAAACATCTGGCAGGTTTAACCCAGACAAGTGCATGTTTTCCCATGGTTTAGGGTCACCTCTGTGTCTCCCATCCCATGGTGACGTGTTAAACCCATTCTTTGCTACTGGACTATACTGTCCCCTACTGGCTGACCTACACCATGACACAAAGACAGAGAGGAGAGCAAGAGGGAGGTATGAGAAAAAGCTTAGAAAAGCTCCGGGCAAATACGCTAAGTGACAAAGTGCAGAACAAGGTGCAGAAGAAGTGGGAGAAGATGTACTCTGAAGCTGTTCCACTGGAGGCCAATAGGTCAGTAGAGTGAAAAGAAATACAGCAGGAAGGTCCAACTCATCCTTCGAGCCTTTAAGCTATGTATTTGATCATAGATGTTTGCTGCTTTTCCTAATAACCTGAATTTATAATTAAATCTACTACTTTCTCTACATTTCTGCCCTACAGGTCAGACGTCTCCTGTGAAATCACTCAAACCAGTAAGTTGAAACCATTTTTTCTCATTTTTCAATTCCTCATGTGTCTCGTTGGGCGAAACAAAGAATATACTTAACATAAAACTGCTGCTGAATTATTAAACAGAAAGGGTTTTTAACTTCATCTTGGTTACCCCGCAAGCACCACTCAGTGTGTGTGCGTGTGTGCGTGCCTGTGTGTGTGTGTGTGTGTGTGTGTGTGTGTGCGTGCACCGTGGTAGCTGTTGTTAGCTACATTATTCAGGGAGCCCACATTAGCCAGGCTGTTATTTCTGGAACTGCATGTGGGTAAATATGCTGGCTCCTGGCAAACTGCAACTTAACATCCCTCTGTGTATGGGTGTTTAAGATGATATGCCATGTTCAACAGCTTGTTCCTGCGCTGCCGCTCCTCCATGTTGCATTCCTAAAATAGAGAGGAGCTGAGGCAGCAACAGGCTTACTCATACTGTTTTACTGGTTCAGCACAGAATTATTCCGTGTGGTTGCACTGGTTTAAAAATTAAGAGCAGTGCGGCAGTTTCGGGGCATGTCATTCTGGAGCTTAAATCAGTTTCCCGGCTTCAGCTGGCCTCCCTCCGTTAGACAGAAATCACTGACATAAATTCATAGAATTGAATGTACGATGTATTGTTGAATAAAACATATTGTACAGGAATTTATAGTTTGGCTTTCGGTTTCTTCCTATATCAACCCCTTGTTTCTGTGTTGCAGTGCACAGCTCCCATATCCCAGCCTGCTCCTCAACAGGCATCCCATCCTGCGCCCCAGCAACTGCCCCACCCGTGCTCCCAGCCCATAGCGCAGCCACAGCGGCAGGAGATAATCAACAGCACAGAGGCCCTCAGTCAGCCGGAGATGCCCCCCAATCCGCTCTCCTTCCCCGCCAACACCCTGCGCTCGTCTTCGCCCAAACCGGATGCGTCTGAGCTCTACCTCAAGTCCAAGGCCATGTTGGACAGCAAGCGTAAGTGTACGGAGTGGGTTCCTCAGCCCTCGAGGATCAGGACTTGCTCGCTGAAAACGAAAATGAGGGACAACAGGCTAACAATTTTCTGTTAATGTAGCAAATATTTTTCACTTGATCAATTTGAGGAGATAAGATAAAACTTTACTGTCTATTAGATTCGCATAAAATGGAAATTTGTCTGTGAAAACCTGGCAACATAGGAAAACATAAATATGTAAAATACAAAATAAACAAAAATAATGATGTCCATCTCAAGTTACGAGAGCCTGAACATCAACAACATCAACATCATGTGGTATTAAAACAAAACAGATCTTTACATTTGAGAAACTATAACCAGCAAATTGTTAATTAGTTAAACAATTAATCTAGTCTGAACATTGTTGACATTTTATTTTCTATTGATCATCTATTTCAACTAACATCGCTCAGTTTCTGAAATCAAATTTTATTTTAGGGCATTTTATCTAATGAAGGACTAATAAATTATCTGTGTTATTTAAGTGAGATGTTATTTCTTTAACTCCCTGACCTTGAATGCACATGAACCACTTGCATTATATCATACGTACATACATTGCCCACATGACCAGCAACAAATTTGCTTTTCTCTCCTCTTTGCAGCTCCTAATACCAAGGACCTGGATGTGTTCATCAAAAGGAACCAGGAGTCGGGCTTTGGCTTCAGAGTCCTTGGAGGCGAGGGGCCGGATCAGCCGGTAGGTAGCAGTCCAGCAGGTAGCAGACAACTGGGAAATAGATTGTCAAAAAGCAGGAAACTTCTGTTTTGCACATAGGAAACGCAGCAACAAATGCTCAGAGCAACTGAGAGGATTTATTCACCACCACGCCAGCCCATCTTCATGCTCACTTTGTCGGTCAGATCAGTGTGTCAAGCTATTAGCTCTCTTATAACCCCCCTCCTGCTGCTTCCTCCGCAGGTGTACATCGGTGCCATTGTGCCACTCGGCGCGGCTGAGAAAGACGGGCGCCTGCGGGCAGGGGATGAGCTGCTCTGTATAGACGGCGTGCCAGTCAAGGGCAAATCCCACAAACAAGTGCTGGAGCTGATGACCAACGCTGCCCGTAACGGCCAAGTGATGCTCACGGTCCGCAGGAAGCTAGCACACTCAGGTGGGTCTGCTGTTCAACAATCATCTCTACATTTCTTTGAGAGCACTTTTACTCCTTTTGTTTTCGATCAGTATGCTGGAGGAGAATGTCTGCACTAAAGCTTTGATCTGGGATTTATTTTTTTTTTTTTGGCTAATCCTTTAAATTTGTTCTGGATGATTTCCTTGCGGATAAATCTGAATAAATGAAGTTCAGCCGAAATTGACTTATTTTATGCAGATGTTTTCCTGAAAAGAAAGAGGCTTCTGTATTTACTTAAATCAAAGGAATATGAATGAAAAATGTTTCATCTCCCTGAACAGGTAAAAAACAAACAAAACAAAAAAAAAACAGCAAAAGTGGCTCGCAATAAACAGCCGAAAATTGTCTGCTTTGTGTTTATCTGTCAGGACTGATTGGAGTTGTGTGAAGGGCAGTGAAGATTAGATCAGCTGGTAGAGCTGAATTACATCTCAAAGGATGGAGTGAAGGAAAAAAAAAAAAGAATATGCTGAGTTTTCTTTCTCAATAGCACAAACCCCTGCAGCATTCAGGCTTGTTTACCCCCACAAATACCCACTGCATGAATAGTACAAGCACTTTTTGAAATTACTTTGGATTTGATGTATTGCAACAACAGCTTTGATCACGTTGCAGAAATTAAGCATCAATCATGTAAGGGTTTGTGCTTTCAAAGCGGGGGTTTAGAAAGAGATTCCCTGATGCCGGCTGACAAAACAGGGACTAAGCAAAACAAACATACAATGAAGAGAGATTGAGGTAGATCAGCTTGTCTTATGAATAACAAATTGTAAAGGGCTTTCATCTCAAGTGTAGACTTGACAGACTAGTATTTCATGTGTGCAATAAACGCAGCAAAAAGGCTGTCTTCAATGAAGCCGCTGTGTGCTGAATTATTTATGCAGGGATCTCAAGGAGGACAAATTTGGAGGATTTTTTTTTTTTTTTCCAAATAATTGTTCATGGATTAAAATGTAGGCCACCTAAACTGGAATGACCACTGTTCAAAATAAACATTTGTCTTACCCTGCTTGTGCCTGAATGTAAGAGCCTGAAAAGACAAAAAGAGTATCCCGAGCAGCTGGATTCAGACGGATTTTCCTCACGTCCCTGTGCATTGTCATTTGTCAGATGGTGGTGGAGAGGAGGAGGGCAGTCAGCAGCCCCACCAGGTAGCATCCGCCCTGGTCAACAGCTCTCCCAAGATGCCTCGTGTCGAGGTGCCAAGTGCCCTCCAGCAAGCCCAGTCGCCACGGCCGGAGTGCTTCGACGTTACTCTGCAGCGCAAAGACAACGAGGGCTTCGGCTTTGTCATCCTCACCTCGAAGAACAAGCCCCCACCTGGAGGTCAGAAATAAACTAAGACGTATTCTATTTACAATTTTCATTTTTAGTAATAACATAAACATTTAAAAAAAAAGGTGTAGAAAGAAGTTAAAGGAGCACATGATGATGTTTTTACATCAAAGTCTGTTGTTTATTGTTTTTTTTGCCATGCTGACAGAATGGCTCCAGGGATGAAAACACCTCAATAAATACTGGATGGGTTACCATGAAATTTTGTGAGGCATTCATGGTCCTCAGCAGGGGTGTCGTGATATACTGGTATTGACCATATTTAGAAAAATGAAATACTGATATTGTGTCAATAATACACACATGGTAATATCAGGATGGCAGATGTTAGGCCTTATGGATCTTTTTTTTTATCAGTTCATCCGGTTGCCTTTTCACTATTCATGAAGTGTAATTGTTCTCTTAGTGCACTTGTACTGTTACGGTTATGGACTCTCTCCCCACCTCCTCACACTTTATTTGAGTTTAATTTGCCATCTGCCTCATTTGCCGAACAAGGGCCAAAAACACAATTAACAAAGTTAAAGATGAATTTGAGTGATAGCATTTTTTTTATTTTTTTTATCACAATTATATTGTCATCATGAATTATTTTGGCCATGATACTTGTGTTGTGAAAATCTGATATCGTAACAGCCCTAGTCCTCAGAGGATGAACCTCTACTGACTTTTCATCTCATGCCACCAGCAGGTCAAAGGTTTCATACATCCAGTGAAATCCACACACCCAGAGGATGGATTGGCACAAACATTCATGCTTTCTAGAGGATCTCTCCTAATGATCAGGATCCAGGATATTTATTAGGATTATTTAATTATCAGGATGAATAGCATTAACTCTGGTGATCCCTTAAATTTTTACCTAGTGCCTTGAAGTGCCTTTTCATTTTTAATTTGATGTCACAAGTCTCCAAATACTTTCAAAACTAATGATGTCAGTCTTTGCTGTATTTTGTGTTAAGTGCCAATTAACAGATGTTAGCATGCTAACACACTGAACTAAGAGGAAGAATATGGTCATCATTATTCCTGTTAAACATCCATATGTAAACACTGTCAATGCTATCATCTCAGCATGCTGAAGCATTTAACTCAAAGCACCACTGTGCAAAAGCAAAATCTCACACAGCTGTTACCATGACTATAGATGTTTAATTTATCATTTTTTCAGGGTTTTTTGAAATGTATCACATTATATTCTGTACACTTTAATCCCGTGCTTTTTCAATTTGGAACCATATATTGATCAGGTTCCTAGTAACAGCTCTGCTGCCACAAACCTTTGCTTTGTTATTTGAAAGCGATGTCTTGATGTTGGGTTTATTGAATCAAACATTCTCATCTCTCTGTGTCTCTCTGTTTCAGTTATACCTCACAAGATTGGCCGTATAATCGAGGGCAGCCCCACTGACCGTATAGGTCAGATGAAGGTGGGAGACCGTATCTCTGCTGTCAATGGCCGGTCCATCATGGAGCTGTCGCACAACGATATTGTTCAGCTCATCAAGGATGCCGGCAATTCTGTCACCCTCACTGTCGTGCCTGAAGATGGTAGGTTGGCACGGAGACGGCCATAGTTCAGTGAAACTTCTAATGGGAATGTTGATGCTCTCAACTTTTACATGAAAGTTGCTAAAAGGAGGTTTTAAGATTGCTTCGTGACATTCGATAGCAGATCGCAAGAGAGTGGTCTGCCTGTTGTGTCATGCTAAATTGGTGTGTTGTATGAACTGAGTTTTTTTTTTTTTTTCTTTTTACAGACAACGCTCCTCCATCTGGAACAAATTCAGCCAAGCAGAGCCCTTCAGCACAACACAGAGCTATGGGCCAACAGCCTCCCAGCTATCCAGACAGGTACACACACACACACACACACACACACACAATCCCATACAAGCAAAAGCATTCACACAGGCTTGTCAGTGTCCCTCTGAGTCCACTGGAGACAGTCTAATACAGGTTCTGCCACTTGAACCATAAATTAGCCCCAATCCTCTTGGAGCAGGCTCCGGTTTGTGCTTCAGTGTGGCCCCATTACTGTTTCTTGTGGCCCACACACTCCTTGTTATCCGGAAAGACAGAAAATCCCCCCATGGTCACTGTTTGGTTGGCGAAGCAAGGAAAAAGAGACACATTAATAGGGTGTCTCACTTCCTCTTTGATCTTTCTTTTTAAACAAGATTACCTGTGTCAGACTTTTTAATCCATTGCTGCAGCAGCAATTCTCCATCATAATTTCTCGCCCTCACGCGCTTCTGTTTCGCTTCCCATCAGCATGTGTTTCTCTTCTCCTCATTTTGCCCTCTATCCATCCCTTGGCAAGAACCCTCCCTGCTCTCTGTCTAATCTCCAGCACATGCCTCCGGTCAGCCCAGACTATGAGCTGAGGCTGTCAGCTCGTCGGCATGAAGTGTGTAAACTCTTCTCCGTGCCAGCTAAGAAGGCCTAGGCTCTTTAGTGTGTTAGCGCAGCTAAGTTCCCACAAAGGCATTGTAATGAGCTCTGCGAAGCATTAAAGTATGCCCCCGTTATCTGCCACTGAACTGTAAAAGCAGCGCCGCTCTTTGAAGGATTTACATTGGTCTCTGTGCGTTGTATAATGATACCAATGGAAAGAGGCTCATGCCGCTGTAAGGAAGGCGTGGCAGCGCATGGATCACACTGGACACAGCAGTGAGGGAAGAAAATGAGACTTACTCTCTATTCTCCGCTCTCTATCTCCACAGTATTGGAGCATCTCTACTTTTTCATGTGCTGTAGCTCACATACAGTATTGTCATATTAACATGATACACACTGTACAAGTTGGTGAAGGCATATTCAAGGGAGGACAATGAGTGCATACATTTTTACGCACAGATTGTCCCATATCAGATATTAGATCCCTCACCTTTAGGCTGGTCACAGACTTTGGATCAGTATTTTGTGATTGTTATATATTGACATTTATGATCAGGGTCGGACAGCAACGAGTTACATTTACTTGAGAACTGTACTCAAGTATATTTTTCCAGTATCTGTGCTTTACTTGATTATTATTTTTTTGGAAACTTATGACTTTTACTCCACTACACTACAAATGTTGTGCTTTGGGCTCCACTTCATTTCTATGAAGTACTTTTACTTTGAAGAAGAGCTTTTAGTCTGTGAAATTTATTTTATTTTATTTTGAAAAATGTGATAGACCATACACTGGATTCATCAGAGGAAAACTAATCACGGCTGACTCCTACACTGTCAGTCATGTTGTGCTTGCTGCATTTTTGAACAGCTCAGTTTGAACTTGGCAGTGGCCTAACGACATTAGATAAAGATGAGGCAGAAGATTCTTCACCAGAGCACCGCGGCCTTATCTTACGTCCATGCTTGAACTTTAAGAAATAAAGAAAACTTCCTTTCATTTTAAAAGTTTGCTGCGTTGACCACAACCAAACTTCATAACAGCTGTTGTTGATTCAGTTGTGTTTTTATGGCCATTTCATTTGCTTTGTAGCACAGCTTTTTATTCTACAGTCAGTCAGTTCATTCAGTAGGTTGTTTCAGGGTCATCAGGTTCTGTAAATGTGGAACAAGACAAAAATGTGTTGACAACATTTTTTATAAAACCTCATATTTTTTTTCATTTTGCTGTTTTTATTTTTATTTTCTTTAATTTTTTGTTTCCACACTTTTATATTCATTTATGTTATCTGTGTGCTGACATTCAATTCTCATCTCAGGATAAGAGCTCTTGTGCCGCATTGTATTAAAATGAGACTAAATATACCCGTGATCTACAATATGTGGGTCACATTTTAATGTGTATTTGGTCTTTTTTTCACAAATGGTGACAGTGAGATGAGGAACTCTTTTCTACAAGGAGAGATGGGTACACTCATCACATCAGGCCCAAAGCAGGTAAAATTCAAAGCTAAAATTACTCTTACTTATTTTAAATTAACAGTATGCAATGCTTGTAATTTACTAGTAAATTCTTAATCTTAGAACTTTCTTTTTGAGGCCATGCAACAGTGATTTTTCAGGCTTGACTGGAACTTGGGACCTTTATCACATGCCTGTCAAGAAGAAGTGCACCAGTCTCAAAAATCTCATCCTCTTGTCTGTGAACTACAGGGCTGCTTTGTGGTGGAGCTGGAGCGCAGTCAGCGGGGCTTCGGCTTCAGTCTGAGGGGAGGGAAAGAGTATAACATGGGACTGTTCATCTTGCGACTGGCTGAGGATGGACCTGCTCTTAAAGATGGCAGGATACATGTGAGTTATTCTGCTAGTCTGTCTATCCTCAGAATAATCTGGGTAATACTACTTTAAAACCAAATTGATAAATATTACTCAGGAGTTTTCAGCGTCTAACACTGTGGACCCGCCCCCATCAGACAAAATCAAGACAATTGCACCCCCCCAAAACCCTCCTCCAAAAAGTCAATAATAATGGATTTTGTCGCTTCTGTTATTATTTTTTTTTCTTATTTCTATTTAGGGGATAATTATAATGCTTTAATTTTTGGAATTGCAGATAATTCAGGAGCTTTGGGGGATGTAAACAGGAAGTAATATGTTGCCATGGAGTCAGTCAGCTGTTTTCCCATTTTTTTGCCTCTATTTGTTTCCATTTTTGCAAAGTGGCACCATTAAAAGTATGCTGAATTAGCCATTAGCAGCTCCTTGCAAAGTACTCATGCATGCACTGACATCTAACACTGGATTACTTTTTACTGAAGAAAACCTTAAGACTTGATGATTCTCAACCAAGTTCTTATAATGCAGCGTCTTTTTCCAGTGATTTCTATGTGGATTTATGGGCATTTATTTGTGATGGACATCGCAAGATACTGGTGTCCTCAGAAAAAAAATATGTGTGTATCGTGTATTTGTGTTCAGATGTGACTGATTTATTTTACAACTTTGTGTTTTAAAACATTAAATTCTTGCGTGAGCTACGTGTCACAACCTGTGCTGCAGACTCCCAGCTGCTGACTGTGTTGATGAACAGGCAAAATCAGCGGGTCACTTTATGCACTCCACTATCTATGCCTCATGTCTCTCCGTCCACGTGCCTCATAGTTTGAAAACTGATTTTATTTAAAGGAACAGTAACTGAACTTACCCTTGTTTGGTAAATTCTGAAAGACTTCCTGCTCGTGATATCTGCATCACAGGTTGGAGATCAGATCGTGGAGATCAACGGCGAGGCCACCCAGGGAATCACACACACTCGGGCCATTGAGCTGATCCAAGCAGGGGGCAGTAAAGTTCATCTGCTGCTCCGACCTGGCCAGGGCCTGGTCCCGGATCACAGTGAGTGACTGCTGAGAACCTGCATGCATGTACACACGGTGTTGCCACCGCATACATAGATCTACGCAATAGCATATTAACCATACATATATAGAAGCTTTTGTATGGATATGCTTGATAGCAGGGTGCCGAGTTTCTTTATTCTCATGCATGTTGTTGCGAGCTTCTCTCTTGACCTTTCTCTCCTCTCATTCTCTCTCGATCTACCTCTTGTGCTCTTTATCTGCCTTGCTTTCTCTGTTTTCTGCACCAGCACGGCTGTCTGTTTCTACCTATTTATCTCTTCCTCCTATAGGTCTGAACTCTTCTTCCACCCTGTGCTTCTACATGAAACCAGAGCATCACTAAAGGCCTCACTGCTTTTCTTGGTCTGTCCCTAATAACCTTGGTAAACCTTATACTCCTACTTTTGCCTCTGACCTATCCTTTCGAAGTGATTCATCTCCCAGATTTCAAGTGTCGTTCTCTGTCCCTTACTTCATCCCCATGATCAATCTGAACTAGATCAGTTATTTGTGACTCAGTAAACACCCAATGCATACTAAGTAGAATCTTCTCTGGAGGGCTGAACTAAAGCAGTGAGTCCTAGAAGAACAAACAGACCTGCAGGAGCGCTGGGAGGCTCCAGAGCCCCACAAGTTATTTTTTTACGGGTATTACCGAACCTGGGATGCCACTGAACACACACCTCATCCTGAATGGAGATGGCGACCCCGGAGAAAAGTCTTTAACTAGATATTGATCAGTGAGTGACAAGTGTTAAAAGGATGTGTGTGCATTCACTGGCATCAACCTTTCAATCCAAAAACCAAATTAGAATGAATTTCTACGAGTTGTTGCTCCTAGAAATCCAAAAACTCATTTCAGCACCACTAAGTCCATCACTCTTCTTTTTTTCTCTCTCTGGTTTTTCTGCTGCATATATCTGCTCTCAATCACAGCTGTGCAATTCTTATCAGCCCGGGGGAAAATTGAAACGTCAGTGCTGGGTGAACGCTAGCACCTTTTATTCATTGATGGCCATGTCACCAGCTGATGTATATCTCAAACAAGGCAAATATTTAGAGGGATATTACAGGGGGTTATTACAGAAAGCGAGCCAGGTGGCAAACATCTTTTTTTTCACAATATCAGGATATTGTGCTTCTTTTGCATGAGGTGTAATTATCTTTCAATTTTGTTGAATGTAGAGTAGCTCATTTAAGGGATATTTTAGTTTCTGTCTTTCAGAGTACTTCGGTTTTCTTACCCTGCACTGCTTGCTCCTCAGGTTCAAAGGACAAAGTAACCATTCCAACCTCAAGCTTTCCCAGACTCTCTGTATCTGACGGGCAGTCATCTCCAGCCTCTCCATCCTCTGTCTCCCTCTCTACCTCGGAACTGTCCCCATCCTCACCCAAAATATCCGTCCCTGATGAGTTCTCCGGTGGGGACTCCAGGGCGGCTGGGTCCCCTGGCGGTGGGCAGGAGCACGGTAGGCAGGCTAACAGATCAAGAGGACAGCACCTCCCTCACCACAACCATAAGCGCACCACCAGCCCCAGCACCCAGGCCAGAAAAACAAGCAGGAGTGACTCCAAGTCGGCTAGTCCCAAAAGAGCCACTGATGGCTGGGCAGATCACGTAGAGCGCTCCCAGAGCCCTAGAAAATCAGAGCGAGGCCACAGCGGATCCTTGGAAGATATGAGCAGGGAGAGAAAATTCCAAGGGCAGAGGGATCATAACTCCTCTAGCTCAAGGAAGGGTTCCAAGAGGGAACATGACCCTGCTGTGCCTTTGAAGAACCTGGAGGAGCCCCAGAGCCCCAGGCGTCCAGCTGGCCAACAGCCCAGCATTCCCTCTGGAGAAGGGAAGGACTGGAGGTACAAAGAGGAGGATGCCGCTTATTGGCAGGAGAGGGGGGCTGCAGAGAGTGGAGACAAAAGCTGGGGGACCAGTGAACGTCACAAGAAGGGCAAAAGGGCTGAGCAAGAGGCAGCGGCACAAAAATCCTATTCCCAAATGCACAGGGAGAGGGCGGGGTCAGATGTCGATAGCGGCACCCTCAGCCGAAGGGGCGGGCGAGAGAAGGGGGATAAAGAATATTGGGAGAGTAAGCACCATGGGCCAAGTGAAGAAGTGAATAGAAAGGATCCCAGAGGTTCAAGCAGTAGCATCCAGGACCCCAGCTGCAACGGGACCACCACCAGCAAGAAGGCTCCCATCACCCCCGGCCCATGGAAAGTTCCCAGCTCTGCCAAGATCCAGTCGCAAGTGGACACAACATTCGCAGATATCTGATATCTTTCCAGGACATTCTGCATTTATTAAGAGAAAGCTGAGCCTCTGACAGATGGACATTCAGAATGGAAGGATGATTTTTTTTTGTTTTGTTTTTTTTAGCAATCTCGGACAAAGCAGATCACTGTGTAACCAGTAACATAGCTTGTCATTGCTTATGATTTTTTTTTTTTTCACCCAGTTTGCCTCGGTTAGTTTGCATCAAGCTGCTGATGCCTGATCTGACGTACATGCTTGTACCTACATGAGTATTTGTACTGTACTGATGATGTGTGGCCGTGTGTGTGTGTGTGTGTGTGTGTGTGTGTGTGTGTGTGTGTGTGTGTGTGTGTGTGTGTGTGTGTGTGTGTGTGTGTGTGT